CCGATGTAATTGTCAAGTAATCTGAATGTCCATTTATTTGATTTCGATTTTTTACTTTTAACTTTCAAATGTTTAAATATACACTTTCTTAGGATTGATTTTATTGTTTCTATAACTATTTGTAATTAATAGTTCATTATGACCATTGTTTATAAAAGCAAATACAGAAGTACAATGCCTTAATTTGTGACACAAGCATATTGTTGAAAGAAAAAAATATAGAAAATAAATGAATGGGATTGTTGAAAATGATTTATGATATGAAATACCTCAAACAGCCTGTTAGATTTGGGAGAACATGGGGATTCCCTTAAGCAGTACAATATATTTACTTGAATCCAAGATGAGGTGTCTCCCATCTTTTAAGATGGGGGGGGGAAAGCCCCTCATCTTGAGATTTGAGTACAAGGCAGTGGGCGGGGGGAGGTGGGGGGAGGTGGAAGGGATAGCTGGCAACTGCTGTGGCTCTGACTCCTTTCTCAGCTTGGGGATGAATTTGGTGCCTGCCCTCCCCGCTTATCCTCTAGCACCAGTTCCAGGCACAGAGTACATGGTTGTTCTGGTCCCAGCCTGGCTACCCATCAGCTGTTACAGTAATGGCAGCTCTTACTCTGGAGCCTGACTGGAGCTGCCACTACTATAACAGCTGATGCATGGCCAGTCAGGGCCAGTGCAGCCACATGCTTCATACCTTGGATGGAATAAGCTCTACAGTTTATTCGGATGCAGCACGTGGAACCCAGACAGAGCAGCCCTGGCTGGCAGGGGCTCCTGGGGGTCATCCTGTCAGCCCAGGGCTGCTCTGACCAAGCTCAATGTGCTGTGGAGGGGCTGGCTGGGGCATGAGGGAGCTTTAGTGCGAGGCTAGCTGGCATGTGTGCTACTGCAGAGTTTTTTACTCTGTAGCAGGATAGCATTTGTATTTACAAGTAAGTGTATTTACAAGTATCCTGTTGTGGAGTAAGTTAGTTTACTCTGGCATAATAGGGACACATGTGTAGACACTGAGACATTTACTCTGCACCTAGTTGTCAAGTGCGCAGTAAACATCTTGTGTAGACATACGCTGTGTGTGTAAGAAGGAAATCTCAAAAGAGGGGTGGTCACAGAGACAACCAGCAAAATAGCGTTAGTTAAACCAGGCCTCTTGCTTCCACTGTCCTCTGAATTTATGGGAATATACCAAGGAATCAGAACTTGTGGCAGTGGTGGTATTTTTTATTAGACCAATTAGATATTTGTGGGGGGGAAAAACATTATTTGCAAGTTTTTGGGTAAACACACCCTTCTTCAGGCACAGGAGAATGCAAAGATTGTAAAATTTCTCCTAGGTGGAAATGAAAATTCATATTTCACAGGAGAGCTGAAGGTGGTGTAAGATCTCCTAGTTGGAATAGTTCATTTTATGCAAATCAGATTCAGATAAGAGTTAGAACAGCCTTTTTACCTCTAAGTTATCTGGTAGCAAGCAGGATGTAGAATTATGTTTCTTTCTGGTTATGGTATTTGACATTTTACAGGAGAGTGGGAAGCTGAAATGTTCTCCTGGGCAGGGAATTTCCCTTGTGTTTAGGTGCCTCTGAGCAGCATGAAGATGCAAATTTACCTTGAACAACAGGAAGAGCAAGGTGTCAGCTTTCAGGTTTCCAGGTGGCAGATTTTAATTCTTTCTTGTAAAATGATGAAATTTCATTAAAAAAATGGCTAAATTTGGTATTTCATAATTTCAGACTTCATAATTTTACAAGAAAGAAGCAGGGTTTACTTGGTAGCAGAGTTTTATCCTTTCACTGACTTGTCAGAAGTATAATATTGCAAGTTTACACTGCTTGCTAACTTGGAATTCTTATGATACAGGTTGCTAATATTTTACTGAATGGTGTGAAATATGAGAGTGAGCTGAATGGATCAGGTGAGATGTCTGATCAACCACTTTCCATGAAACATCTTTGTTCAACCATCTGCCACATGCCTACGGCTCTGCGTAACCTCTGCATCAACCACTTCCTAGGTAAACCAAAAAGTACTACTTTGCACTTGTTATGAAGGTAAACATTTGAATAACTATGACCTGATTCTCCACAGAGATGATGGGTGAGATACCAACACCAGAAAATTTTCGTTTGCTTAATAACTTGATAATTTTCTCTGAAACTGAAGAATAAGAGTGTCAAAAAGCCATGTTTTGCTGACTGGCTGGCTGGGGCATGAGGTGCTTCACTGCTAGGGTTCCCTGCTGACTAGCCTTGCACTGAAGCACTCTTGGGCCCCAGCCATCCACTCTGCAGCACACTGATCCTGGTCGGAGAAGCCCCAGGCTGGCAGGCTGACCCCTTGGGATCCCTGCCAGCTGGGGCTGCTGTGATATAGCTTAATGTGCTGCAGTCAGGGTGCACATACAGCTTCCCAGGAACAATAAACTGTGGAGCAATAAGCTCTGCAATTTATCACTGTCCCTGATGACATGTGTAGATGTGTCTGTCTAGTCTGATCACTGGCACTCCCCTTGAAGTTTGTCAAGAGAAAGAAATACGTGGGAGCAGGGGAAAAACAAGCCAGGTGTGTGGTTCAGCAAGATGGCTGTTACCTTGGATGGGAGTGGGCCCTAGGTTCTAGTCTCTCAGTGGGTGTGTCTACACAAGACACTTTACTGCGCAGTAGAGTAAACACTAAATAAGTATGCTAAAAAGCTACTGTGCAGTTTCATAGTTGGTAGGGTTGGAAGGGACCTGAGCAGATCATCAAGTCTGACCACCCTGTCATGGGCAGGAAAGAATGCTGGGGTCAAATGACCCTGGCAAGGTGTCTATCTAGCCTCCTTTTAAAGACCCCCAGGGTAGGAGCAAGCACCACTTCCCTTGGAAGTTGCTTCCAGATCCTAGCCGCCCTGATTGTGAAGTAGTGCCTCCTAATATCTAGCCTGAATCTACTTTCCATCAACTTATGGCCATTATTCCTTGTTACTCCCAGTAGTGCTCGGGGAAACGGATTCTCACATTGCCTGCTGGTTTCCCTTGGCCAGTTTGTAGATGGCCACAAGATCCCCTCTCAGCCTTCTCTTGTGGAGGCTGAACAGGTTCAGGTCTCGTAGCCTCTCCTCGTAGGGCCTGCCCTGCTGCCCCCTGACCATGTGAGTGGCCCTCCTCTGGACCCTCTCAATGTTGTCTACATCCCTCCTGAAGTGCAGCACCCAGAACTGGACGCAGTACTCCAACTGCGGCCTGACCAATGTCATATAGAGGGGGAGGATCACCTCCTTGGACCTGCTCGTGATACATCTATGGATGCATGACAAGGTGCGGTTAGCCTTCCTGACTGCATCCCCACATTGACAGCCCATGTTTATCTTGGAGTCTGTAATGACCCCAAGACCCTTTTCTGCCTCTGTGCTGACAAGAAGGGAGTTCCCCAGCCTGTAGGTATGCTGCTGGTTCTTTCTCCCCAGGTGCAGTACCCTGCACTTGTCAGTATTGAATCCCATCTTAATCTCATCTGCCCACCCCTGTAACGTGTCCAGATCCAATTGCAGTCTGTCTCTCCCTTCTAGCATGCCCACTTCTCCCCACATCTTAGTGTCATCTGCGAATTTGAACAAGGTGCTTTTCACCCCCTCGTCCAAGTCGCTGATGAAGATGTTGAACAGTGTGGGCCTGAGGTCTGAGCCCTGGGGGACCCCACTGCTCACATCCTTCCAGTAAATTGATCTACTACACAGTTATCTGGTGCCTGTAAATACAGGTACTAAATTTGGCTTGTGTAGATGCTGATTGGGATCGGCTTTGCTCCTGGTCAGCCATGCCCACAGGGCACCTGGTCATGGTACTGTTCAGCTCCCAGCTCCCCCAGCCGCTCAGTACGGGGACTGGGTCCCTTTCTCCACCCCTCTTCCCTCTCCCACTGGTCCTGGTGCTGTGGGGACCCTAGTTTCACACATTAGCAGGGATCTGAGCAGTGCTGGGACTGAGGAGCTACCAGTGGGGCAGCTAGCTGCTGGCCCCTGGCTGGGCAGGGAATCCCCGCTCAGCAGGAGGCAGCCAGGAGCTGTCCCACCGATGGGGTAGCTAGTAGGGCTGTGTGAAGCTTCAGTCGCTGATTCAATTTGGCAGAGATTCGGCCAGATTGTGGCCACATCCAAATCAAATGAGGAGACCCTTTAATCTCTCTGAATCAAATTGGAACCCTCTGAATCGATGCGGAGAGATTCAGAGAGATTGGATGATTCAGACATAGATACAGCTTTAAATGTTTTTTCTACATACCTCAAGGTACCAGGCAGCTCATGAATGCTGAGATGGTGCGGTGGACGGAGCATCCCATGGGAGTGTGGAGTGGGGGGGTCCCCAACATGCTTGGCAGTGGACCCAAAAGTGGACCAGAAACACTTCCAGTCCACTTCCAGGTCCTCTGCAGAGTACACGGGAGACCCTCACCTCCCGGCTCAGCGACTGGTGCCTCCTGGTTCTGGGGGAGCACCCAGGGTCCCCATGTGGCTGATCACTGAGCCGGAGGGACACAGGGCGGGTGGGGGGGAGCACATGCTCGGCGGTGGACCTGGAAGTTGACTGGAAATACTTCCAGTCCACTTGTGTCTGCTGCCAAGCACGTGGGGGAGGGGGGTGGTTTGTGCGACTCTCCATCCACCCCAGCATCACAGCGTTCATGAGCCGTGCCTGGTACCTCGAGGTATATAGAAAAAACATTTAAAGCTGTGTCTGTGGCTGAATCTTCAGATTCAGATTTGGCCAAATTGAATCGGAACAGTGATCTGAATCAATGAATTGAATCACTGTCCCCCAAATCGAGCCGGATCTGAATTGAATATGGCCCACTTTGCACACCCCTAGTAGCTAGCAGCAAGCCCCCAGCTTGGTGGGGAATCACGAGCAGATTGGAGCCCCTCCCCTGCAGCTCTTTCTCAGCCCCATGGCCCCATCACCTGATCAGGACGGGGGCCTGGGAAACAGCTGCAGGGGTGGGGATTCTTCTTAACCTCCTACCCCAATTGCCCATTTGAGGCAGGAGGCTGGGAACCAGCTGGGGGGAAGGGGACTTTTCCCAGCCCTGTGCCCTATGCCCCAAGCTGGCTGGGACCTGCTCCAGACCAGGACAGGTCCCTGTCAGCTCTGGGCTGGCTGTACAGAGCAATTTCTGTGCAGCCTGGATCTGCCTGGGACCTCCCCCAGCCAGAGACAGATGACAGGTGGCCACAGGCTCCTGCAGCACCAAGCTGCAGCAGCAACTCTCCTACCCTGTGCACATCAAGACTCCTCCTGATGTGTATGCATGGGAACGGTCCCCGTGGTCCCTGCCAACCCCTGGGCTAGCACCCAAGTGGAGTCTGGATCTGCTGCTGCAAGCGGGTAGAGCAGGGTGGGAGCAAATCTGCTCCCAAGACGGAGCATGTGTAGAGGTGCTCCCCCAGTAGGCTTACAGCACAATATTTTTACTGTTCAGTAAGCATACTTCAAATTAATAGCATGTGTAGACATGCCCAGTGGGACAGAAACTTTCCCACAGCACTGCTGTCCATACATTTAGTCCAATGACTATTAAATGAAAAAAGCAGCAGTTTAGCTTCCAAAGGAGCACTAGAGATATGATTGGATAATGCCTGATCTGCATCATGGTTGTTAGCATACTGTACAGGGAAGTCTGAGATAGAAGTTCAAACCCCCTATTTGGTGCAAAGGAGCTACAATCCAGGTCTGTGGCTTCCTAGGACAATAAAACAGCCACTTGGTTACTAGGGCCAGAGGAAGCACAGGTAGCAGCCATATGTAAAAAGCACTTGCCGCAGCTAGCAGTGCTGTGATAAGTACAGTACTCTCAAACCTTGCAATGCGTATCCATGCCTTTCTTAACTTGACACTGCACAACAATGATTGGCTGTATGTGAAGTTACATCTTGTCCACTCATACTTAAGCTAATAGAAATGCCAGTTGTATCCTGTCTTGCTAATACCCGTACTATGAGCTGCAATCTGCCTGTGGCATTTAAGTGAAGTTCAAGGTGTAAATTTTAACATTTAAAATCCTGAATGACTTTGAGTAAGATTACAGCATAGCATAGAGATAAATAATCTCAGCTAATTTTCCGCATAAAGATAAGAGCAATCTATGGGACGTACTACACAGTATTCTACAGGTGGCCTTCTCCCACTCCCATCACTTTGAGAAGAAGCTTATAATTGATTTTATAACTACAAACAAACAAACAATGCTTCTGGCTTCTTCCAGGTTGGCTGTCATTTGAGGGGATGCTACTGTTCTATACAGACTTTATGGGAGAAGTAGTATTCCAAGGAAATCCCAAAGCACCTCACAACTCAGATGAGTACCAAAAATACAATGCTGGGGTCACCATGGGCTGCTGGGGAATGTGTATCTATGCATTCAGTGCTGCATTCTATTCAGGTACAACACACAACTTTTTCGCACTCTGCTACCAATAAGCAAAAAGGGTTCTACAATAAGTGGCACTTTGGCTTTGGCACTTATATAGCAGTTTAACATACTAGTTTGAGGTACTTCTGCATTTGGATTTTCTTCTTAGCATTTTCTTATCCCTAAGGTAGTATATCTGCTACTCTGGACTGGGAGCATCTACATGTGCATTTAGGCATTTTTCCTAATGCGCATTAGGTACCTCTAATGTGATGTACTAAACAAATGTGCATTATGCTGCCTTAATGCACAGTAATGAATGCACATGGTTTTTAGTTATTTGTGCTTCCTAGTAACCTCACAAACACATAAGCTATGAATCTGAAGTCTTTAACCAAGGATGCACAACCTTTTCTGAGGTAGAATTCTGTTTAATTACAAACAGCAAGTGTACAACAATTCTGCATATAATTTAAGAAGATAAGTTACTGTACTCTTTGATTATATTCTCCTCCCACCATGAAAAGTTATTGTTTCATAGGCATGCAATCCTTCAAGAAATGCCTAGCCCCACACCTTTGTAGTGTCAGTATAAGAAATAAGAAGTTAATAAAGATTTGCTGAGCTTGATCTTGCATGTTGGTTTTTTAGAAAAACACAAAATCATCATGAGACTTTTGATGAAATAATGCAACTGTACAATTCTATGATATCCAATTTGAGACTCAAGACTCCTAGGACTAGATGACTTAGCAAGCCCGAGTCAAACAAGAAAATTAATCTTCATGTTATATATACTTAGAAGGTGGCATGGTCTGGAGTTCTAGCTCAGGACAGGGAAACAAGCAATTCTGTATTTCAGTCCTGGTTTTAAGTCACTTGGTTAGATCCTTTAATATCTGTTTCCCAGTTCCCCTTCAGTAAAATGACATAGTTATTTTTTTCAAACCGACAACATTTAGCAAATGCTTGTTCAATAGTTTGTGAATATAAAAAAAAAATCATTGTATCATCGGGCTCTGTGGAAGGCCAGTAGGGGGTGCTCCTGCACTGAGCCACCCACCTCACCATGCCCGACCACATTCCAGGCTCTGAGTGCCTTCCTGGGGGTTCCTCATGTCTGACTGACCCCCTTCCTGGAGCACATCCGCTAGCCTGGGGTAGAGCTGCCACCACCCAGGGACAGGCTTCATTCTGGGAAACACAGGCCTAGTAGCCCTCGAGGGTACTTGACTCACTTCAAGAACTTGAGGTGCTTCCCGCAGTCAGAAACACAAGTAGTGGTCTCCCTTAGTCAGCCAAACCAAGGGGACCCCAAGGCATAATCTAGACCCACTCCCAATAAATCTCCCATGCTAGGTACAAAGAAGAACTTTATTGGTTACAAGGAGTAGGGTTGGAATAGGGTACAGAGTTGAGTAGTATTGGAGAAATCCCATAGAGCAAACAGGTTGGCTGGAGTAGCCTTTGATCACGCATCTGAGTTACTGCAAGCTATATATCTAGATAGAGCTCAGGTAACTTACTCACAAGTATCATCCAGAGGCAGGTGGAGATTGCGTCTGGAGGCAGGCAGTTCCTTGATCATAAGTTTTGAGGGAGAGAGCAAGTTTCAGATGGTCCAGCTCTTTTTTCTTTCTGAGTTTTCCTCATGGCTACTGCCTCCTCCTCCTGGGCAGTCCTTAACTTATATAGCCCTTATGACCTCATTTACCTGGTCCAATGGAGACCAGCACCTGTTGACTGCCAGCCAACCAATGCATCACTGGTTGCTGGGCAGACTGGCAGTCTCTAGCCCACCAGGGAGCCCAAGCCCCTCACCCAGGTATGTGATGCCAGTCAAGTAGGCAGTGGGAGCAGGTTTCCCCTCTCCCTGAGGAATGTTTCTAGCTCAGGTTACCTAACAAGATAGGTAAGGTGTGTACCCTCTGCAGGGCCCATACTAACCAAATTGGCACAGAGCAGAGTTCTTGGGGCAAAACAGAGGTGGCCTTCTGCCACAGGCTCTACCCTTAGAACATTCCAATTTTCTGCATGCTATGCTGTGAAATTCCACACAATGAGTGTGTTACTTCAAAAATACTGATAAATCAAAGGGATTATTTGCAGCAAAATTCTACACAGCGTGTGTCATGGTGATACTTTCTCTCCTGTCATGGGTGTTCTGCTGGGCCCTGTTTCCCTTCCTGTGCTGGAGTATTCACCAACTACACAACACCCTCCACTCCTTTTGGAGGTCTGCTTTCTTAATTTGTATTTCTTACCAAATGACATTCTACATCTCTAATATTATTTTTAAGACAGAACTTAGACAACAAATATACAGTCAAAAGTATTGCAAATATTTCTCAGATTAGTCAATTTATTAACAGTTTACAAGGCTTCAATTTTCAGGTACCTAAGATTATCAATATGTAGTTTAATGTTCACCACTTTCATCTTGAATTTATTTGCACTGAAGAATCTTCACAATCATTGTCTTTTTTCTGAATATCTTCTTTTGACCATTCAAGATGAACACTATCTGCCATCTAAGTCCCCAAGGTCACGATCTATCCATGCAACAACAGCTCTGTATTGACAGTTTGTTGCATAACAAGCTCAGTCACAACATCTCCAAATAAGTTGGTTCAATAAAAGACACTACCAAACCTCTCTCTTAACATGATGTGAGGATTTGATAAAGGAATTATTTGTAAATTAATTGTAAATGGTTGCAAATGAAAGTGCACTAAAGTATTCCTACACTTTTCTTGTGGAGTATGTTAAAAACAGTTCCACTTAGACAACAAGATATCAATCTGTATCACAAACTTATAGACCTGAACTTCAGAGTCCCCCTTTACCCCCCTCCCCACCACCATGTCTTTAGAGATCTTGTCAAGAACCCAACTGTTGATGGAATTCACATGACCTGAAATAGCCTTCATACTTTGTATTTAAAGCTCAGTTGTCATGTAGGTTTGGAATGCAGATTTTCCAGCTCTGTTTACTTTCCAAGGCTTGGAATTCCATTGTTACATTTCTTGACAAGCCAGTTCTTAGATGCAAGATGCTTTGGCTAAACTTTTTAAAGTGATTGGAAATACATTCTTCATGCCTGCTCCAACTCCCTTACCTGGAAAATATTCTCATTTCAGTTTCTACAATAGCAGCAAAGTACCTTTTTTGGAACTTATTTTGAATACCTTCAAGACAGTCAAATATTTACAAATGACAACATAAATAGTTTACATCCCTGTAAAAGCAACATGGGCATGGATCAGGCAGGCATCTTTGGATCTGGAAGAATTTGGCCACATTCATAGGGGTTTACAAGGCAAAAAAAGTATACATGGCAATCAGGAAGTCTGATAAATAACATTTTTTTGCTTTCACACATGCATGCATGCACATGAAATGGAAATCCTAGAAGTACTGAAATACCTATATTAGGGAGGGAAATTACCTGAAACTTTAAAATTGATTTAAAAACTCCCCTCCTTTCACTCCCTCAAAAAAACTCCCTGAGAATTGGCAAAAAGATGCAACACATAAAGGCACAGACCACAATATCAAAAGGGCCTTCTATCCCACTGATATAAGGATCAGAATTCTTAGCCCATATGCTGTCCTGGGTTTTCACCTAAACTAGTAATATGCAATCTCCATGATCAAGTGATGCTTCTAGTTTAAACTCTAGACCTTTTAACTTTCAATGGGCATGTCTACACATGTATTTGATCCAGGATCAGTTTATTCACAAGTAAATTACCCACAAGTAAAGGATCCCAGGCAGGTGTCTACCTATGCAGGGAATCGGGAACAGATTTGCTGCCTGCGATGGGCCTCTGATGCCACTGGCTCCCCCTGGGTGCTAGCCCAGGGGCTGGCAGGGAGCCCTAGGCCAGGAGACTGTAGTCTCCTGGCTGGGCCTGAGAAATTTCACCCTGCCTCAGGGTCTGCCTGCTTCCAGGATGTGGACAATGTCTCCCTGCCCCAGCAGCAGGGAGCTCCTGGCTCTGATTTCCAGATCTGGGGCAGGGGAATTCAAAAGAACTGCAGGGGAGGGGCAGGTCCCAGCTCCCGGTGGGGCAGCTAGCAGCTAGCTTGGAGATAAGGTCTTCCAGCACCCAGCTCCCTGATCGCAATGGTGGAGCAGGGGCTGGGAGATAAGGGGGAATAGGACATAGGGGAAATTAGGGAGGTTTACTGCATAGTAAGCACGTGCACATGTAGATGCACATGCTTACTTTGCAGTAAATTATGCTACTGTGCAGTTAAGCGTCTCATGTAGATGCACCCTGTATGTCACATGCTCCCTCTGGTGAGGATTTCATATGAGGCTTCAGGGCATTGCTTCACAGGAAAACCAGGTACAGCTGTATCAAATGCCCTGAGCTGGACCTGTGACAGGGAGTAAAAGTAACCTAGCCATATAAGCTGTTTATCATATGAAGTAAATGTTCTTGGTTAGTTATTTATTTAGATTGCCAAGTACATATAGGGACAACATTCTGTGCACTCAGCCCTGTTAAGTGCAAACAACAAAATAGTCCTACAAACAACACTAACTGAAATCCTATTTATTCTACTCATAAATAATTTTAGTTTTCATTCTGGCAACCTTCCTTATAGCAGTGCAAGAGCGCTGTTGTAGCGATAATGATCCAGAAATAATCTGAGGTATGGATTTTTTAGGATATTGTTTAATTGGATTTCTTAGATATCATCCCTACAAAATCCTTGCCTCTTATAATCTTCCTTATAAACATCTCTGTTAATTAATTTGGAAACAAAAATCTTACATGTCCTTCATATTCCTCTTCAAAAGTTGGATCTATAAGCCACTGACAAGATACAGAGAGGGTCAGAGAATATGGAAATATACACTATCAAGATAACCAACAAGAATATAGGAGAGAAATGCAGGCCACTGTGCTCTTAACTTGCTGCATGTGAAAGCTTTTACTCTGTGTGACATGAGAAACAAGGATTTCTTAGGGTGATAATTTTTATTGGATCAACTATGTAGTAGAGATAAAAGACAAGCTTTTGAATGCAATACCTGATGAAGAATGTTTAACTGGTCAATTATTTTAATCCAAGTAGAACATCAAAACAACTGTAAACAGTAAAAATTAAAACATTGAACTAAGGGAAATCTCATAAGTGTCTTTGATAATTTATGGAAAGTTATTTAGCATGATTTAACAAACAAATAATTTAAAATGTTACCGTTTAAAGACAAGAACAAATTAGATCATTTGCAAAAGAAAGTTAAAAAAATAAACCAGTAAAATCTATTTATACTTTTGTGTGTAATTTGTTATCTTTACATTCTGTTTTACAGCCATACTAGAAAAGCTGGAGGAATACTTCAGTATTCGCACTCTCTATTTCATAGCATATCTTGCCTTTGGACTTGGCACAGGCTTGGCTACACTCTCCAGAAATATTTATGTGGTTTTATCACTATGTGTAACTTACGGTATTTTATTTTCAACACTCTGCACACTCCCTTATTCTCTATTATGTGATTATTACCAGAATAAAAAGGTAAGTTCTTTATTACATTCAGAACCCTTAAAAGTTTCAGCACTATCCATTTCGTTAATCCATCATAAAAACTTCACCTTCTGTGGATCTGGCATCTATGAATGCTGAAAAATATCGTGCTAACTTAAACGGTTTTGCCCCTTTTGTTTGTTGTTTGTTTTCTGTACACACAGAGTCAGTTTTTTAAACAAGTTAATTATATCTCTTGATACTAAGTAGCCAGTTACATGCAGAAAGTTCTCTCTAGTTTCTCCAAAACTGCTTATGGCTTTTTCATTCCCCATTGCCCTCTGATCCCTGCTGCATAATATTAAGGAGACAAATATTTTTTCAAAAACATCTGTTCATAACACAAGCTTGTACTGGCCATACACTACTAATGTCCCTGCAAGGATGCTGGGCAGATTCTGTCAAAAAAAGTATGTCCAGATGTTATATGCCAGCTGGACAGGAGCAGGATGGCTGAATTAGGCATGTTGCAGGCAGTCAGGACTTCTGTTAAGGTATTCAGGTTGTAGCTGTATTGGTCTAGAGGCAAAAGGAATCAGAACTCATGGTAGAGGTAATATCTTTTATTAGATCAACTAGATTTTTGCATTTCTGACACTGCAGCAGTATAAACATAGGGGAAATACCCTTGAGAGACTGTTCCTGCAGGGGTTGTAGCTGCTGAATGGATTGTAGCTCTAATATTCAGGCAAACTACATTTTTGTTGGAGCATGAACTGCAGCTCTAGATAACCGTTTATAGTTTAACCTTCCCTTAAATTGTTCACGTTTGCTCAAACTTGTGTTATTGAGGCTGAAGTTTTTCAGACCCACTTTCTGAATGTATTTCTAAAGTGTAAACTTAAGCAGTTCAAACATTTTGGAGGGTGAGAGAGAAACACTTTTCCCACTCTAAAAGAAACCCTTTTATATGAACAGTTTTAGCAACAGTTTGGGTTAGAAATGTGAAATTGGTAAAAAAACAGTCCTTAGACTGGACAGGAGACTTTCACTTTGTGATTTGGATATGGACAGCCTGCACATGCATAGCAGTTTTTCAGCAGTACTTGAAATTTTAGTTTTGGCATCTCTGAGAATGAAGGGGAAGAGACTAGTGTAGGGTACTCCTTCACACCCCTGTGCCCCTGCATGAGCTGAAGCAGAATGGACTGTTCAATGGGCAGGGAGCAGTTCACCAGGAGTCACATAACTTGACAGTTGTGTTATGTTCATCTCCTGCTCAACAGCTTTTCAACCTCCGAGGCAGGCTTGTTCAGTAAACAAGGTGCTTGCCACAACTCTGGGGTGCCCTGGCTCTGAGCTGGACTCCCCAGCCCAGCCCAGCCTGCCCCAGCCCCAGTTCCAGTTCATTGTAACAGAACCAAGCTTCCCCCCTTCCCTCCCCCTAGCTCTTCTAAGATAATTACTGGGCAGGCACCTTAAATGGACCCAGACTTCAGGGGGGCACAGGGACTGTTGTGGAGCTGGCCATGCCGCTGGTCTCACACGTGCTTCTCTCCTCTGCAGTTTGCTGGCCCGAGTGTGGAGAGCCCACGGCGTGGCATGGGCGTGGACATCTCACTGCTGAGCTGCCAGTACTTCCTGGCACAGATCCTGGTATCCGTGGCCATGGGCCCCCTCACTGCGCTAGTAGGCAGTGCCAACGGTGTCATGTACTTTGCTAGCCTTGTGGCCTTTGCTGGCTGCCTCTTTTCCTCTCTCTATGTTACCTACGAGATCCCATCCACTGACGAGCTGCCAGAGGAACAGCAGCCACTTGTGCGAACAGTGTGACGTGTGGGCACAGGCTGCACTGGAGCCAATAAAAGCAAATGAGGCCAGTAGATGCCTCCATGCGCTCATTACTTGGCAGCTTGAGGGGCTATGAAGGGAGTTGGGAATGGCAGACAGGTGGGGGTGGGGAGGAGTCCCTGCCCAGTGCTGCCCCCTGGTATCTGAAGTTGGGAATTGCAGCCAGGTAGAAAAAATTAACGGGGGTAGGGGCGGGGGGTATGGGGGGTGGGAATAAAATCCTGCTCAGTGCAGCCCCCAGTGTCTGAAGTGGGTACTGAGGGCACAGGGAAAAAAAAAGATCCTGCTCAGTGCTTCCTCCTGGTGGCCAAAGTGGGTACTGCAGGAAGTAGCTGAAAAAAAGTCTTGCTAAGTGCTGCCCGTCCTGTCCATGACTGAAGGGGGTACTTCAGGTCAGTGGTGCTGCCTGATGGCCAGAGGCCTTACTGCAGCCAAATCCCTCTTCAGTGTTGCCCCTGGTGGCCAGAGGAAGTACTACAGCCATACCTATGCTTAAAGGCACCCATTGCTTCTTAGAGGCTTGCCATCCTTGGGGCAAGAGGCAGTACTGTAGCCAAATCTGTGCTCATTATGGTCCCCTGCAAGAGGAAGCTGAGAGGTGATCTTTCGGGTGCCTACAAACTCATTGTAGGGGCCAGCAAGAAATGGGGGATACAGTGTTTACCAGGGTGCCTGTTTGGGTAACTAGAAATAATGTCCACAAACTGGAAGAGAGCAAATTCAGATTGGACATCAGGAAAAAATTCTTTACAGTAAGGGTTGCCAAATTATGCAATACACTTCCAAGGGAGGTGGTGCCGTCCCCTTCCTTGGAGGTATTTAAAAGGTGATTGGACAGACACCTGGCTGGGGTCATCCGACTCATTCCTCCCTGCGGCCTGACCAATGCTGCACAGAGGGGAAGTATCACCTCCCTAGACCTGTTGGTGATGCATCTACTTATGCAAGAAAGGGAGCGGTTAGCTTTACTTATTACCACATAACACTGGTGAGTCATGTTCATTTCAGAGTTGACTACTACTCCGAGATCCCTTTCTCTGGTTGTGCTATTTAGAATGGTACCTCCCAGGCTATAGGAATGTTGATGATTCTTCCTCCCCAGGTACAACACATGACACTTATCCTTGTTAAACTGCATCCTATTCTGTTTGGCCCATTCCCCTTCCCTGTCCAAATCAGCCTGGATTCGCTCCCTGCCATCTAGTTTGTGTACTTCCCCACATAGTTTGGTGTCCTCAGCGAACTTAGACAGGGTGCTTTGTACTACCTCGTCCAAGTCACTGACGAAAATATTGAATAGTACTGGTCCCAGGACAGAGTCTTGGGGACTCCGCTGCCTACATTTCTCCAGGTAGAAACTGACCCATCCACCACCACTCTCTGGGTGCATCCCATAAGCCAATTTCTATTTACCAGACTGTGTAATAATCTACATTGCAACTATTTAGTTTATTTATAAGAACTGGGTGTGACACTGTGTTAAAGACCTTTTAAAAATCTAGAGTAGATAACATCTACATCTGTTCTTTCATCCAAGCATTTTGTGACCCAGTCATACAATGAAATCAGGTTAGTCAGATATTCTTCCTAATATCTAACCTGAAGTTTCCTTTCTGCAACTTGAGAACATAGCTAGCTCCTTGTTCTGTCATCTGTCACCACTGAGAACAGTCTAGCTCCATCCTCTTTCAAAACCCAATTCCGGTAATTTAAGAATCGTATTAACTTTCCTCTCAGTCTTCTCTTCTCCAGGCTAAATAAGCCCAGTTCTCTCAGCCTCTCTTCAGAAGTCATGTGCCCCAGCCTCCAAAACATTTTTGTTGCCTTCTGCTGAACTCTTTCCAATTTGTCCACATCCTTCCTGTAGTGGGGGACCCAAAACTGAACACAGAACTCCACATGTGGCCTCACCAGTGCTGAATAGAGGGGAAGAAACGCTTCCCTTGACCTGCTGGCAACACACCTACCAATGCAGCACATTATGCCATTAGCCTTTTTGCAACAAGGGCACACTGTTGGCTTATATTCAATTTATTGTCCACTGTAATCCCCAGGTCCTTTTCTGCTGAGCTGCTGCCCAGTCAGTCAGCCCCCAGCCTGTACTGGTGCATGGGATTGTTCTGTCCTAAATGCAGGACTTTGCACTTGTCCTTGTTGAACCTCATGAGATTTCTTTTGGCCCAATCCTCCAATTTGTTTAAGTCGAAAGCCTTGTTGAAATCAAAGTATATCACATCCACTGGTCTCCCCGTATCCACAGATCTGTCATAGGAGGCAATCACATTGGTCAGTCATGACTTGTCCTTGGTGAATCTATGCTGACTGTTCCTAATCACCTTCTTCTCCAAGTGCTTAGAAATGGATTCCTTGAAGATTTGCTCCATGATTTTTCCAGGGACTGAGGTGAGGCTGACTGGTATGTAGTTCCCTGGATCCTCCTTTTTCCCTTTCTTAAAGATGGGTACTGTGTTCTCTTTTCCAATAATCTGGGACCACTTCTGATTGCCATGAATTTTCAAAGATGATGGCCAGTGGCTCTGCAATCACATCAGCCAACTCCCTCAGCACCCTTGAATACATCTCATCCGGTGCCATGGTCTTGTACATGCCCAGCTTTTCTAAATAGTCCCTAACCTGTTCTTTCACTACTGTTAGCTGATCACCTCCTCCCCAAACTGTGCTGCCAGGTGCATTAGTCTGGAATCTGACCTTGCCTGTGAAGACTGAGGTAAAAAAGGGGTTTGAGCACTTCAGCTTTTTCTGCATCTTCTGCCACAAGGTTGCCTCCCCTGTTCACTAAGGAATCCACATATTCCCCCATCCTCCTCTTGCTACTGACATACTTATAGAAACCCTTCTTGTTACCCTTCACATCCCTCCTAGCTGCAACTCCAAATGTGCTTTGGCCTTCCTGACTTCATCCCTGCATGCCCAAGCAATACTCCTATATTCTTCCCTAGTTGCTTGTCCAAGTTCCCACTTCTTATAAGCTTCCTTTTTGCGATTTAGTTTACTGAGAAGATCCCTGCTAAGCCAAGCTGGTCTTCTGCCATACTTGTTAGTCTTCCTGCACATCAGGATGGTTTGTTCCTGCACTCTCAGTAAGGTTCCTTTAAAGTACACCCAGCGTCCCTGGACTCCTCTCCCCATCAGTCTGGCTTCCCAGGGGATCCTGCACATGAATTCCCTAAGCAAGTTGAAGTCTGGTTTTCTGAAGTCCAGGGTTTTTATTCTGCTGCTCTCCTTCCTTCCTTTCCTCAGGATCCTGAACTCAATCATCTTATGGTCACTGCTGCCCAAGTTGCCATATACTACTACATTCCCCACCAATTCTTCCTTGTTTGGGAGCAGCAAGTCAAGAAGAGCATGCATTTACACCAGGAAGTTGACCCCTCACTGTCCAAAAATATCCTGGATTTCCTGCACACTGCTGTATTTTCCTCCCAGCAGATGTCAGGGTGATTGAAGTCCGCCATGAAAATCAGGGCTTGTGATGAGGAAACTTCTGCTAGCTATCTGAACAAAGCCTCATCTACCACTTCTTTCTGGTCTGGTGGAGCCCACCACAACTTCACCCTTATTGCACTCTCCTCTGACCCTAACCCAGAGACTTTTGACAGGTCTATCTCCAGTTTCATACTGGAGCTCTGAGCAATCATATGGCTCTTTTACATAAAGTGAGACTCCTCCTCTTCTCCCCTGCCTGTCCTTCCTGAACAGTTTATATCCATCCATGACAGTGCTCCAGTCATGCGAGCTATCCCACCAAGTCTCTGTTTTTCCAATCACATCATAGTTCTGTGACTGTGCAAGGACTTCCAATTCTTCCTGCTTGTTTCCCAGGTTCCATGCATTTATTTACAGGCACCTAAGGTAACTAGTTGATTGTCCTGATTTCTCAGGAAGTATAATAACACCTCCCCTGTTGCCCCCTCCTGCTTGCTCTTCCTTCAGGTTACCCACCTCCCCACTTATCTCAGGGCTTTGGTCTTCATCCCTGGGCAAACCTAGTTTAAAGCCCTCACTACGTTAGTGATCCTGTCTGCAAAGATGCTCTTCCTTCCCTTTGTCAGGTGGACCCCAACTCTTCCTAGCAATCCTTCTTTCCAGAACATCATTCCATGGTTAAAGAAGCCAAAGCTCTACTAGCAACACCACCTGCACAGCCAAGTATTGATTTTTGGGGTGCACCCAACCTGCTCCCACCCAGGCCCTTTCCCTTGACTGGAAGGATTGAAGAGAACACAACCTGAATTCCAGTCCCCTTTACCCTTGCATTCAGAGCCCTGTAGTTGCTTTTGATCCACTCAGGGCCTCCCCTGTCAGTATCTTCATTGCCCACATGAATGAGCAACATGGGGTAGTATTCAGAGGCCAGATGAATCTTGGTAATCCCTCCATGACATCTTAGATTCAGGCTCCAGGCAAGCAGCAGAATTCCTGAGAGAAGAGGTCTGGTCGGCAGATGGCTCCCTCCATCCCCCACAGAAGGGAGTCTCCAACCACCACCACCCCTCACTTGGTGTCAATTATCTCGATCCTTCCCACTTTGGTGAGGCCTGGCTTGTCCTCTTCCACCAATGGAATGTGCTCCTCCAGCTCTGTTGCTAGGGCTTCATATCTGTTCTCCAGACAAACTGCTGCAGGTGGAAATGAAGATTTCTGCTTGCTGCCAGAGGTCACAAGTTTCCAGCTTCCACCCTTCTGAGAGTTCATATCCTCTGTCTTCTCTAATGCTGTCTCTGGCAGGTCTTCTTCCACAGTCCCGGTGATCTTCTTCACCATCAAATCAATGAATGTCTTGTGGCAGAGGATGCTTTGGAGCCTCACCACCTCTTCCTGTAGCTCTCTTGCCTGTTCTCTGAGAGACACCACGAGGAGGCACCACTCACACGGCAGGTACTCCCTGACCTGGCCACCACTGAAAGGAACTTGCAAGCCACAGTCCGCCTAATGCCAAACCTGGACCTTGGTGGAAGCCT